CCCCCCCCCCCCCCCCTCTAGAGTTGCACGCATTGTCTAACAATTGGTATCGGAGCTTAGAAGGGGGATTCAACATTCTCAAAAAATTTTTGATTGTTTTATCAAACGTCAAAGGAGCGTTAGAGATACCTGCTCCGATACCAATTGTTAGACAAGTGTGCAACTCTAGAGGGGGGTAAATAGAGTTGTTTTCAAGAATGTGCGTTTTTCGCGTGTGTGAAATAAAAATCACAGGAATAAATTTAAAGAGTAAGGAAAAGAAGAACATTGAGTTTTATACTGGTTCACCACCTCGTGGTTAGTCTAGTCCTCCGAGAGACTCTCTCAAAGGTCCTACTAATCTTCAAGCTTCAACGGGTGTTTGAAAAACTGATACAACTTGAGAGCTTGAATCGCACAAGCCTCACTTTCTTACAACACCAAGACTTGAGTCACACAAGTCTTAAGAGCAACAACTCAAACAAGATGACTTTAACAACACAAGAAATGAAGCTCACAAATGAGCAAGTAGTGTTTAAAGTGTAAGCTCTATGAATGACAATATCTTTGCAATCTAGATATATATATATATATATATATATATATATATATATATATATATATATATATAGCTCTCAAAATAGTGTTTGATTATCAAGAGATGGAGCAAGAATCAAAAGTAATGAATGAGAGGATTGAAGTGCTTGTATTGTATGTAGAATGAAGGTGGAGGAGGGATTATATAGGTGAAAAATGGATATGTCCGTTGGGTCAAGAAATTGGCTAAGTATGAGATGCAAGAGACAAAAAATCAATTTTTAAAGAAGTAATAAAATCGATTAGATGCTGCTGAGTAAAAGTCCTTCTACGCGACATGTAGCTAATCGATTAAATTAAGAACATTTTAATCGATTTTTACCAGAAATCGATTTCACCAAAGGTGAACTAATCGATTAAAAAACTTGGCGAGAGAACCCAATCTGCGAAAGAACTAAAATCGATTTTTGCACAAGTAGAAAATCAATTAATACTGCGAATATAGCAGTGACAGCAAGATTCAATCAATGGCGAGGTAGTGAGTCAAATTTGTCTCCATCTTGTTGTTTCCAACAGGATTCTTGAGACAAAGGCTCCCAATCACATCCTATTATTATTCAAAAATAATTTTTGAATAAATGGGATGATTTGTGATTTGGGGTTAAAAAAATGAGTCCCAAAAATATTTTGTGTGTCAAACGATGTCAAAAAAATATTTGGGTAAAAATATTTTCGCTTCCCAAAAATATTTTCAAGTATCAAAAAGATTATTTTAAATTGTTTGACACATCTTTTGTAACTGACTCAAAAAAATTATTATTGAATCGTTAAAGGATTTTTTTAACTCACTTCAAAAATAAATATAAATTTTTAATGTATATCCCTCAATAAAATAATTCTTTAAGTATAAAGATATTTAGTCATCCTTACAAATATTCTAGACTCAAAGAAATAAAAGTTTTCAGAAAACTTCTCTTTACTTCAAGATCTCGCGTAGAGATAGTGAGACGTAGTCGTTGTGAATTTCTTGATGTGTCTCTCTTTTGCTTACTTGAACCTAAAGATAAATTTTCGTTCTTCGTTGCGTTTGTCATTTATCAAAATCTGAAAAATTAATTTCAAGACAAAAAATATCTAAAGGGGTTTGAACTCATGTCCAACAATTTCTCCTTTTTTGATAATGACAAACATAGTTGAGATAAGAGCAAAAGAATCAAGAGAATACTTTCCTTTTATTGAAGAGTTCCCCCCTGCAAGTTTTAGAAGTAAATAGAAATAAACGAAGTGATAGAGGAAAAAATTTTGAAAAGATTTTCTCAACTATCCTTCCTTCCCCATTTTGGCATTATCAAAGGGTCCTTCCCCTTTAAACTAAGCTTGGGTTGTGAAGGATAACCCAAAAACAAATTTCGAAAAAGAATTTTCGAAAGTTTTGCAAGAGTTTCCCTTAAAAGGTGAATTGATGCAATTTTAATATTCAAAGGGACAATATGTTCTTAAAGAGAAACATATTGCCAAACAACCACACATCCCATAAAAGTTAAAACAAGCAATAAGCATAATAAGAATTAAAACATTCAATAAGCATAACACAACAAAGTAACAAAGAGTCATCATAAGCATAAAATAAGGTCATAGAGAGTTAGCCGGCCTAGGTCCTCCGGAGAAGCAGTGACGAGGACCTCGATATGAGCGGGAATCCTCACGTGTCAGATGGCATCACGAACACACGTGATGGCATCCAAGATCCTCCGGACCCAAGATGGCTCGGGCTTATCCGCTCTCGGTTTTCGGCGTCGGCATCAGGCTTCTCTCACCGCGGCTCGACTAGTCTCTTCCCCTGCATTGCTCGGTCCTTTGCCGGCATTGCTAGGTCCTGCCTTGGAGCGGCTACGAACGGCCTCGGTCTCGACTTCGCTCTCATGGATGCTTTCTTCTTGCTCGATCACTCGGAGATGAGGCATTTCACCCTCGTTTCGGCAAACGACACGGGTGAACTTCGTCTCTTGGATGAAGCACGTCTTCTTCACCAATTGTCTAGAGTTACACCCCCCTCTAGAGTTACACCAAAAACACAGTACCGTGTTTCATTTTAACTTCATAAGTATATTTAAATAAAATGATTTTTAAAAAATGATTTTAAATAAAATAATTTTCTTATACACGGTTTTGGTAAGAATGAATAATAAATACACTGTAAGTGACTGTGAAATAAATAAAATGATTTCCTTATTTTATTACATGTGTAATAAACTAAAATTTTGAAATGGTAAGTAAAACCAAAAAGATGTGTGATAAATTAAAATGTTGAAATGGTAAGTGATGGTGTAAATTACCACGCAAATATTAAGTGTGAGTAATCGGAAGGGTTGTAGGTGGAATCACCTGTAACCCGGTTTGTTATTAATGATAATAGGAGTTATTACAAATACAAGCCGTGTAGGTTAATTAAAACATGCCTCACAAATGAGGCTTTTAAGGGTATTTATAATAATCCTAAGCACGTCAAGCACGTCTCTGATTATTCAACCGGTCAGGCAGCTGGCCGGCCCACCAGGTGCATTTGAGTAAATCTTCGGGTATTGGCATCTGGTCTCCTCATCCAACCGGTCAAATAACCCGGGCTGAAAAAGACGCGTGCTGTTCGGTGAACCAACCGGGTGGTATCCTTGGGTTATTACCCATCAAGGAGTCCTCCGATTCCCGGTCCTGTGGGGACCATCAGGGGCGGGAAGCACATGCGATCATTTCCTGGAATTTGAACAGCCCAGTCGCTTTTCGGCGGGGAAATCGTCTCGGAAAACCAGCGCCAACCCAAAATATTTGAATTTTGAATTTTGAATTTTGAAT